TCCGGAAATTAGAGGCTATTTATGCGGAGAGGAGGAAGCGCTTGGAGAAGTGTTAATTTACTGCTTCGTTATCCTTTGTTCGCCTTCTTTCACTGTTCCCCTTACAACCCCCACCCCTTCCCCCTTTGTCCTTTCACTAATAATCCATCATCCCCCTTTCGACGATGCACGTGACACGTACGTACGCACTTTATACCCCCTCTTGTCTTTTTTCTTCTACTTTTTCTTGTGTTAGTCGCAGCGTTGGCGTTTGGGTTGTTGTTTCACATTTACACATATGTATTTATTCCCTTGTTCTTATTGTCTGTTACTATATTATAGTGGACGTTGGTCTGAATACATATGATATGATAGTGATATACGTTGCACGTTATGCATTGTGATAGTAGTTAGTCCTAGTATCTGGAGAGTTCGATGAGTTAGGGTTAAAGTTCATCTGAGCTAGGAGATGAAGTCTTGGCATTAACCTAGATTCAATGAACAAGTGATTGATGTCTAGGCAACTGATATAGACAGTCTCGTGATGAAACCAATCGTTACAAAGAGATATTGCAAGGAATGCTAGCATGTCTATTACAGTGGCATGGTATGAATGGTCTATGTGAGTATCCGTTCACTCGGACACTGCAGTGCGGTAATTCATTGGATCATACCAGTTCTGCTTTTCATTATTGCTTCAATACCCTTATCCGTATCCATAATGAGCTATTGTTCAAACTTTGAAATTAGATCGATGAAAATATGCTATACTAAACAGCCGAGCTACAATGCAGCCACAGTCAATAGTTTTACATATCGTTAAAGAAAGAAGAAATGTATTCTTTGAAAAATAGAGATAGTAAGAGACATAATGAGAGATGTAGACAAGTTGAAAGCCAATAAAAACATGCTTGACTGGAGCAAGACATGCTAAACAGATAGACAGACAACAATGTAAGTAATGGTCAGTCAGTAAGTAGAACGAACATGAAGCAAGTTCGAAGTAAAATGTCAGTTAAAGCAAGGCTGAAACTGTAAGCTAAACGCTGCAAAGACAATGGGGCGCTTTCCATAAGACGTCGTCACTAAGCAGCTGCCAAGTCGTGCGGATTCGTTTCATCTATGAGTCATTCATTCAATAGCGGCGTCTCTCCATTCCAATCATCACTGCGCATGCTAAAGGAGGCATGCGAAAGGTTCATCAAGATCAAAGACGGATCGCACGGTAATGTTGAGTATTCAAATTCGATGGGAAGATATGAGAAAGAGATAAAGAGATGAAAAGAGATTGAAAGATAGTGGGTTGCCAGAGTGGGTTTGCTTTGTAGGTTTTTCGGTTTTCGGTGTTGCTGGCGATGTTGTGATACTGTCGATGTTTGTTCAAAGAATGTATGGAGTTCGGTATGTTGAGATAGAAGAAAAGGAAAATCAGAGAGTGTAATGACCATCAACGTGCCTGCGAAACACTCCCCTGACAGATAAGGTTTTTGTCGTTTGCGGTTTTCTAAAATGCCCCGGAGAGCGTTCCGACAAACATGCTGTATGGGTCAAGAGTAGAGAGGAGAACAAGAACACTGCGTAATAAACGACGGTCCAGTTCGGTTAAATGAGTCGCGGTTGGAAAAATTTGGCTCGTACACCGTTGAGCACCGTGGTGTACAGCTGAACCGCCGAAAAAGCAACGTATGCATGTAGAAGCAACTTCAAAACACTTTTTTTGTTTTTCGTTATTGTGGCCTCGTCTCTTGCGCCTACCATGCAATGTTGCTCGTCAACAAATGCAATGGTTCAGCGCGAGAGAAGCAAAGGCTAAAAGGTCATCAATTCGTGAATTCCGTTTCTGTCATTATATCCTTTGATCAAAATGCGATCAAAATCACGGTAAATCATCCCGGTCATTAGTGTAGTAGATCGATGTGACGTTGACACATGGTGAAACAGAGTTCTGACAATGCAATATGCAATCTATTGCCTCGAGTACGGCATGTTCAGGATCTGCCTCCGAATGCGCTCTGCATCGGAGATGCCTTGCTCCGTTGGATCGTAAGGGAGCCGACTAGTCCTTTCTTCGTTCTTCGATTGACTGTTCGGGCTCGTCGGCTGGAATTGTGGTAAAAGCCCGCTTGCGAACGGATCCGACAGCGACGGCGCGTGTCGAATGCGTCTCGGTGACGGCGGAACTCGTTTGGGCGTTTCTACCTTGAAAGGGGAGCCCAAGCGCTTGATACTGTCGCCACCGAGATTCAGCATAGGATTGGCGATGGGCTTTCCGACCATGGGATCTTCGTCGTTCCGAGAGGACGACGATGGTGGGGAGAACAACTGGTCAAGACCTTTGTGGTTCACTGAACTTATCGTGGCTCCACGGTTGCGAATGCGTATGCGATGCTGACCTAAATCACTGAGCTTTCCTTGACGGACAAGGTCTTCTAATTGCACCCGCGTATCTTGTTCTGCTGGCGATTCGCTGGCAGTGGCCACGTACGAAGCCAGGTCATGATGGTCGACGTTCGCGAATGGCTCCATGCGGGGCGGAGAACGTAGCCGGGAGCCCGTTACATGGATGGTTTCTCGCCGAGCCCTAGGGGTATGACGCTGAGATCGCTTTCTCGAGGCATTGGGTCCCCAAGTGTTATACGTAAATGGCGATCCTAGCCGTGGCACGGGCTCTTGTCTAGGGGCACTACCAGGATGTATTGCAGGTGGCTCCGGGATGACTTGGCGAGGCGCACCAAGTATGGGATTATTGAACCATTCGCTGTTCATCTCTGGAGGCGAAGAGTCTTCCGCTGCCAGCTGAACCAAAGGCCCAGGTACAGAGCTGGAAACGAGAGACACACCAAGATCGCGCGTCGCATAGGCTGTGCAGCTACTGGGAGGACCGACAGCCCTGGGAGGTTCACCAGACGGCTGGGACAACAAGTCCAGGGCTGGCGTCGGACTTCGGGATTGCATCATTCTCTGGTAGTGTGGAGCAATCGAAAACTTCTTTCTACACAGTAGTTTTAGCCTGCGCCGCGTCGATGCTTCTGACTTAGGCCAGGTAGGCTTCACCGCATCCACCTTGGGGGTAGGAGAAGAGTTGCTAGATGGGCGTTGGTAGGAGAGCGTGAAGGGAAACTGTCGGTCGAGTCTAAAGCGCCTTCTCTCCCACGTCCGCTTGGCCTCCTGGGCAACACGGTGAGTGACTCCAAGCGGCGGAATGCTGCCCGGAGTCATTTTGAAAGGGGTAATGGTAGGGTCTTGGATGTAGAGCTGGTAAGTGTTCCATAGATGGTTGTCCATGTCCAGGGTCCATCGTTCCTTAGCATGCAGCATCCGTGTCTTATTCTTGCGCGTCCGACACAGAGAGGGCGTCTCCGGAGCCGTCTTTGGTGGAAGCTCCAGGTGGAAGAACGGGTCGTATGAATCGCTCTCCATGCTGGTACAGCTTCCACCTGCTGAGCGCCGGGAGCCAAACGTTTCTATCGAGGAGACGGATGAATCCGATGCTTGCGAGCAGACGGAACCCGGACGTTGGATACTCTCTCCCAGGGACTGCGGGTCCTCCAGAGACCACGATCCGGTACTTTTATCCTCGATCGGGTCGGGGCGAATCTGAGCTGGAGGGGTTTTCATGGCCAGGCGATCCCGGGGCGGCGCTAAGAAACGGTCATCGCGGGAGAGTACTGCTGGACACGAGGGGCCCACGAAAGCGTCGTAAGAGGGGACTTCAATGGAAGGTATAGGGACATCGGATGGGTTCGGGTTGAACGTGCTGAGGTCATATTCGGCCTGCGCAAAGACATCGGTCCCCGAGCGGACGCGGGACCTACGTAAGCGGCAACTGGAATGACGAGGGGGAGGCGGTGGCACATCCAGGTGATGTGAAACGCGCTCTGGTGTGCGAGGCTCACCCGACGAAGAAAAGGTGAAGTTCTTCGGCAGGGTGCGCGATAGGCCGTGTGGTCGACAAGCCATGATGTGTAGTCCCGTATCGGTTCAACGACGGTTTGCTAGCTAAGACGGGGACAAGTGGTAAGAGGTAAGTGCGTTATCTTGACAATTTGATGCAACTTTCCTATACCACTGTCATGTCGCGAACCTCGAGAGCGATGCGAGAACTGGTGCCTGACGTTCCAAGTTAAGCGCGGACGGAGATAGCCTAGATCGCACGATATTGTCCAATTCGAGTGCAGCGCGCGCACGGTATTTAGAGAACAACCAAACTCAACTATGGAAGAGCAAGGGGGCGAAGAAATCCAAGAGCAATAGAAGTAAAGAAATCCGTTTCAGTCAATGGTGCAACGTCTGTGATCGATCTCCGAAGAAGGGTCGTCGACAAGGCGCGCTTAGGGTTTATTGGGGGTCGTGAGTCGTAACAGGAGTTGAGGGGAACAAAACAAGAAAAGGAAAAACACGTCGAGGTGTGAGTGGTCGGATGGGCGAAAGCGATCGAATTCGTATGTTATTCGATGTGACGCGCAACGATGTTGTGCAGCGATGCGCTTTGGGGGGTGGAATTGCGAGAGGATCACATCGAACGGGTACCCCAGAGGAGGGAACTATAGAAGATGGGGAGCCGACATTGGCACACGAACACGCCAGACCAACACAAAAGAAAAGGAAAAGGAAACGGAAGGGATGGTCGATGACGAGCGACAAGCTCGATCGGAGAAAAAAGGAGAAGCGACAACGTGGCTGTCGAGAAAGAAGGGGGTGGGATGTAGGGAAGTAACGGAGGGAAAGGAAATAAACGGGGGGTGTGGAGGGAAGAAGAGAATAATTGGGAGAGGAAGAGCGAGAGGATGAGACAGCCGAGGGGGGGGGAAGGGAAAGGGAAGCGGTAGGCGCAAGAAGCCGCGAACACTCACTAAACCTCCCAGCATCCAACTGCTAACTAACTAAACTGAACTGTTAACCAGCGCCTTTTGGGTAGCGGAACTTTGCTCTGGTCTGCTGGGTGGCCGCGACAGGGACGAACTACTAGTCAACTTCCTTCTGGCTCCACCTTTTTTTCCCCTTCCAGCAGGCCCGGAGATCACCACGTCAAGCCCATCAGGGCACCAAGTGGCCTCGCCGGTGCGCTGTTCACGGGCAACCTTTCCTATTCTCGCTAATCGAGATCGTTGTTCATGATGTTAGTTAGTTAACAGGTCGGGGATGACACACTCTCAACCATGATCATTCTCAAATGCCACAGCTGCCAATTGCCATCATGTTCGATCGTTAATCAAATCTGAAGAAAAAAAAAATTAATTGATCAGAAAAATGGGCAAAAATCAGAAAAGGAAAAGCAGACAGGGCAATTGGAGAGTCGCGACTGCTCAGGAATGCGGAGAAAGTCGATATGCTGCGTTTCCTCGTGAGCCACTCAGCTGCATTCTCTCTGCCTTCTTTTTTTTTATTTTTCATGCAGCTATTTCTTTTTTCTATTTTAATTTTTCTTTTCCGAATTCTTCCTCCAACATCATTCCCTCGCTTCCTCCTTTCTTTTTTCCTGTCATTTTTACCTGTTTTCTGGCCAATGTTGGTTCAGCCGGAAGAAAGAGACTAACCAGTAGTACTCTTCTATCCTATCCATTCAGATCAAGAACCCTCGAGCACTCACACAATGGCCGTCAAACTCACTCGCACACTTTTTCTTCTCACCCTCTCATTCTCGGGGGCTGGTCCATAGTAAGTGCTGCATCCCTCTAACCGCCTCACCGCGTTGCCCAACGATCCCTCGGGACGGGCAGAGGATTCACGCCTGCAGCCCGTCGACAAATGGCAGCCATCCTGATGGAGTCGCCCCAGTGGCCCCAACAAGATAGTCCAGAATCATCATAATTAATCTCTTTATATGGAGACACACTAGACTCATCAGTCTGCCGTACCTTTTGCACGGGCTGCAGGACCTGCGATCCAGAACAGTAATAGCTTAGCTTACCAGTCTAGATCAATTAGACTGGGCTGTGCCTCGTTCATCCGTGAGTTACTATACTTGCAACGTTGCGTTCCCCCTCCCTCTCCTTCAACTGCAAGGGTACCGAGAAAGGTATTCTCAATGCAGACCGAGTGCAGATGGCTCACTTGATCATTGACCATCCTCGCCAATAATTTCTCTCCATTGCCTTGGGATTCATCACAATTCCCGTGCACCCGGTAGCACCAGCACACTATGCAGCAATCTCACCTCCAAGGATAGGAGGGAAAACGACCTACCTGATCCTTTTTCATCTATGTGGCCCCATCGATCTACACGCAACGTTCTCTAGCGAGCAAGACCGACTTCCACCCATGACGGGACCGTGTGATCCAAACCATCCCGGTGGCTGGGAGGGAGGTGTGCGAGCGAGTACTCCGTAGTGGACAACAATAAAAAAAATAACAATGAAATAAATAAAAAATAATATCTCTCCCGCCCCCAATTGACAATGTTGGCGAACCAGGAATTCGGGGGCGTCCCATCGGTGCTCCAGCAAGGTGGCCTCGAGTGAGTACCTCGATCAAATTGATCACGGTCATGGTCATGAACTCCAGTCACCTGCAGAAGTGGTTCTCCACCGCCTGGGAACGAATCGAACCCCGACGCACTGGGCATGCATTAGCACCCACCGCCCATCAACCAGTAGTATCTTGCCCACTGCAGCTTGGGCATGGAATTGGAAAAAGGCACCACGCCTCGCGGACGGCCCGAGAATGATCGAAACAGAGGAAAGAAGAGTCATAGTGTGGAATATTCTTTACGACCTCAATCCACAAAGTGGTCCCCATGATACCGCTATATATTCTTTCTATCTCTTAATGCCCTATTCTCCCTAAGTACTTCATGAAAGAAAATCTACTAGTACTATAACAAAGAAACAGACCGGGGCACAGCACGGCATGGCACCTATTGAAGCACACTGATCTCTGCACGTTCAATGTCAATCAATTCGCTTATCGCCATTCGCCTTTCCCCCAATGAAACGCGTCAAGGGGCGGGGTAAACGCGACTTTTAACGCGTCTTGACAACGCGCATCCGCGCGTCTGGTAACTGACTGTATTCGCCGCGGTTCCTGCCACTCAGCGCCCGCGACCGCCTGTTTTGGATTTACTAGCGCAAATCTGCCTGCCTGCCTGCGCCGGGGGAAGGTTCCATTCATTTTGTTCCTGGCTAAATCCATACTTTTTTAGTATCGTCGTGCTATACTTTAGACCACACTACTATCTACTAGTAATCTACCGTTTACTTCCAACTCCATCGATGGACCCAGAAATAGTAATTCAGATGGCTGGGGATGGAGACTCACACGGACAGAAAAAATTTTAGATTCAAAAAGCACTGATGATATTATAATTATAGCAGTACGTAGTGTTATTTTTGGTACTGAACGATGGAGTTGTTGCCTTTTAGGGTGTAGACTGTTGATATCGTCCTTGACTAACGATGTTGATATTGTGGGACATGTTGGGACTTGGGGATGGAATGATCAAAGTGGATATTAGTACGGAGTACTTTGTACTACTATTTATCGCGGACATAACTAAATCCCGATGCTTTTCAATGCATGATGGTACCATAGTAACTGCCGTTTGGGATCAATAATAATATGGAGTGACCTTCCCCAGCCTTCTTATTTTCTATAGACAGTACTCAAATGGCACTGAAAACAACTATTCAACTACAGTAGTATCACCTATCTCAGCAAGCACGTATTCATATTGTGAAAAATAAATTGTTCACAATAGTGAAATTCCACCTACGGACATCCACCTACCCCCCCTACCCCCAATCTAGACTATAGTCTTTCCATACCATGCAATACCTAACCAAATACTAGACAAAAAGTATGGAGTATATGTACATTCCAACCCCAACAAAAAAAGAATTAACATTGAAGATAACCATGCTCGACATATCCGTACACTGGCGTGCGCAGTACTTGCTTGCTTGCTTGTGCTTATACTGTATGCTACTCTAATTTTTGTTAACGGTTAGCAGGCAGGAAATACGATCCAATCCAGGGAAAAGTTAGCTAGCTAGCTAGCTACTAGCTCTAGCCAACTTGGGACTGGGAACCAGCAGCACGGGGCACTGTTGAACTGTGGTAAGTAGTTGGTTGGGCTAGGATTGAAGTAAGCTTGATTTTTGCTGGATCCATGGTTCTTTCCATCTAGGATCAGGGGCGGAACTTGATTTAGTTAGGTTTCTTTGTTGAGAGGAGGAGGGCTAGGTAGGGTACTAAAGTATTTCTATTAACCTGTATATTTAATTGATATATATTTCATAATGTAGTTAATTGCCAATTATTGTAGAATACGTAAGTACATTATCTCGTGTCATCTTCCCTGTTGATTTAATATGTCACTTCTCTAGCACCCACCTACTATCATAATACTCACTGGAGAGGCATACTGCCTCTCCCTCGGGTTACTTTTACCACATCATCATCGACCAGCCCTAACGATTAACCAAAGGTAAGTAAGTTACTTCCATGTCCAGTTCTACACCGCAATCTCCTTACCGCGTATATGCATCTGCACTATGCAACTATGGTGCCCTGTATGGAATACACAACATACTATTTACCTACCTACACATCAAATTATTATCACTCAATAGTAAACTACTAGCTAGTAATTACCCACGTAAGCGGTCTAGCCTACCTGCACCTGCACCTGCAGATAATGCAGTGCAGTGGTTCATGTTCTTTTCTTGCTTACTGCTTACCTATTTAGGAATTAGAGGTAAGACAAAAACAAACAGCCTTGGATCCTGGAACCGTGCCGCCTAGATAGGTATGTATGTATGTATCTACTGTATGGAGTAGATAGAGCATGATCCATTCTGCAACTAGACACTCGCCACAACCATCTTAGTTAAACATGATAGAATAAAGTATGACGAATGAAATCAAATCACAAGCGAAGAATGCAGTTAGTGTATGTGTGAAGAATAGAACCGGTTTGTATCTGGTGCGGTATTATTCGCGTCAGCCTCGCCACATTCATCCCTTGCTTTGAAACTGGTTTTTTCGTGGCCTCGTTGCATATGACTGACTTGTCTTGGATGCATGTGGAGACGCCGTTGGAAAGAACGAAAAAAGCAAAACAAACCATGTCATAAGGCGACGTGATCTGCTGAGATATGTCTTAGATTTGTTTTGATCTTTGTATGTGGTTCTGATTGGTTGATCGAGTTGATCGGATATAGGCAATCTAGTATGTACACAGTACGCGGTACTGGTCGATTTGGTATATACAGGCTCAAGGAAGAGGGATGGATCACGACAGATCTACCTCTGGCTGTCGGGGCTTGAATAGGAATTCCACTGTCGGATCGCAAATCGACTCTGTTCCGTGCATAAAGTTCATCGGTCGCGTTGTGCGGCCATCGGCGAACTTCCAGTCGTATCTCATGAGGAAGTGGATGAGGAGAATCTTTACTTCGTTCGAGGCGAAAAAGCGTCCCGGGCATGCATGCATGCCATGTCCGAAGCCGAGATGTTCCGGGCTGGTGGTCACGAACTGGAACCGGTGCTCGTTGCCGGGTTCTTGACGCTTCTTGTAGAATCGGAAGCCGTCGTACGTCTTTGCGTTCGGGTAGAGAGTTTCATCCTCCATGTTGTGCGCCGAAACTGCTACGCTGGCGCCCTTGGGGATGCGGGTGCCGTCGGACAGCATGATATCTCCTATAGCGAGGCGGTTGAGGAAGGCTGTACTTGTATGTCAGAAGAGCCCTTGTTGAGGCTTGAAGCGGGCTGAACTGGGTGCTTACCAATGCCGGCGGCGTGCATTCGCTGGGATTCCTTCAGTACGCTATCCATCAGTTTCATCTTGGTCAAGCTGGTCTTCTTCAATCCTCCGTCTTCACTGACGATAGCAATGATCTCGTCTCTCAGTGGCTGGATGTGCTCCGGGTAGGCTGTCAAGTCGTACATAATGTTCGTGAGGAGGTTAGAAGTCGTATGGATCGCCGCCAGGGAAAGGCCGACCTGGGCGACAGCGATGTCTATCGGCCGGCCAGCAGCAACCTCCTCGAACCAGTCCAACGTGTCTGCGTGCGTCCTCGGAGGGTCCTCTTCAGGAAGCTTGCCTTCCCGGATGAGTTTCCGCTTTTCCACCTCACGATTGATGATGCCGGAAGCGATGCGAATATCTTTCCGGGTCTCACGAGTCGACGGCAAGAACCAGTGGACAAAAGGACGGAGGATTGAAGGGTAAAGTCTGAGGTCACGAGCAGCAACGAAAGCGTGGATGGTATAGTTGACGGAAACGTCCAACCACTGCTTGTCGCGACAGATTTTCTCACCCAGAAACACAAGAGAGGACAGACGAGCTACGATATGGGGAATCTCCTGTGCAAAGTTGAAGGAGAGCCATTCTATAACATGTTAGAAGGTCGACTACCGTTGATGGATGTGAGTCACGTACCCCCAGTGTCCGGAAGCTTTTCATTCATGACTGTAGCTGTCTCCCTTGAAAGTGGAGTGATCAGTTGCCCTGCAAGAGAGTCAGTGTTCTGCTTAAAATTGTTCCCACCGGACCACCTTACCAAGCCCTTGAGTAATCTTCTTATTGATCACTTCAAGGAATATGCCCTCGTGATCTAATCCATCGAACGGCTCAAATCCTGGGATCTTGGATCCAAAAAAGCTCTGCCCATATGTCAGTATTTTCTATGTACATACCCACAAGTGAGTGGTGCATACCTTCTTGTTTGCTTCATTGAAGTCAAGAAGTGGATGGTTCTTAACTTCGTCCACTAGGCTTGGATGAAGGACAATCGTTGGCCTAGCGGAGAAAACAACCTGGAACGATTTTCTACCCTGCAGATATATTAGCTTCCGCCGCTAATGCGTTGGCAGCGCACTTTAATCCATACCTGACTGAAACCCTCAGCGAAGAGCTCCTTTGCAGACGTGACAAATCGTTGCTTGGCTTTTGTGTTTGTGATTTCCCATTTGCTTTTGCCAATTAGGGGGATATTCTTGTATGGAAAACTATCTGCTAGTTCATGGTAGAAGCTGGAAACAAAGACCAAGATCAAGGCCAGTACAACCCCCTGCAAGAGATGTTGGTTATCGAGGACCTCGAGGATGACTGCCATTGCCGGAGTGGGTAACAAAAGGCACTGTGAAAATCATGAAAATGAGGGGCCAGGGTCGAAATCGGCGTTGGAACCGCCCGACTACTTATA